TCCCACAATGAGACGAAACGGTTATCTACTGCTTCCAGGTTTTCCATGGTGTTCTAGCTTCAACTGACTCATGATTTCAACTATTGGAATTACTAAAATCTCCACAAAACCTCTTCTGATAATAGTAGTACTGGTTAAGAATAAAACATATAAAACTCAGGCAGCGAATCATTTCGTGAGATTATCGACTACTGGTCCAAGTCACGTTAGAATTTTTAAGATACCTTAAACTATAAGACGATCTCAACTGATATGAATAGAAATCGACTGATTTATCATAAATGAATTCACTATTTATATTCTGTTAGATCTCGAGATATAACATTGTTCATGTGATTTCATTCACTAACTCCATTTCATTTTAAATATATTTTCCATGTTAAGTTTCTCACTTTCATTAATGTCAGGGTGATATGACGGGTTCAAAAGTCAATATTGCATTCTTTTTACTCCCTATGACTTTTTTTAACATTACTTCCGCTTGAATTCAATGTGATAATTACTTAGTGCAATATTTCTTTTGTTTTACCTTATGAAATTATATTCTGTATAACATATGACGCCCTGATACGATCCAGAGTGGGAGGAGTTAACTCTCCCCCTCGAAATGCTTTCACATGGCCACATATATACAGCCACTGTCAGGGCAGTCCTATTCACTGACTTTTCATGGCGGTGTCAATTACGAAATTAAGAGGACGATAAGCAAATGTCCGGCGCTTCAACCGGGTTGGTGGTGGGTAATGAGGGTCCACCTAAGGGAGTTAGAAAACCCTGGTTCCAAACAAATGATGCACATGGTCTCCAGGATCCTAAGGGAGTGAATGGCGTATGAACCAACTGTTGGTCACCGGCTACGGCGAGACTGCATCTCCTGACGTTGCTTCACTGTCTTGTGGATGAGACCTTTAGGTCAAAACCTTGGAGTGTACCCCCCCCCAAGAAAACTCCCTGCTTCGGTTTGGGCTCCCGGGCAGTATCACAGCTCTCACGCAAACAAATGAGAACGGTTACTGGCCTCTGTTTTTGTGTGGCGCATATGTATTTGGTGTCCTTGTACCAATGTTTATGTGTTCAAATAAATAAATAAATGCTTAGCATGACATGTGGCATGTGATTTTGTTGTAACTGGGTCTTTTTCATCTAGATAATTTTATTTTAATTATTAATCAAAATGGATTTACAACCAATGTATAAAAGAATGTATTTTTAACTAGGGTAGTCGTAAATCTTCATTTGTACCAGTTTTGGTGTTCTTGTTTCGCATTGTATGAATTGAAGAAGTTCCTCGTTTTATAAGCATAAATGATAAGCGATTCAGACATAACAATTAGCGATGCAGTCATAAGAATCAACCATTAGTTATAATAAATTGACGACATAACATAACGAAGAGTTTTTACCCACTTACCTTTATCTTATTTGTTTCATTTTTAACTATAATAATTTCAATGCTTAAGATCATGTGTCAACTGAAGCTAGACCAGCATGGAAAACCTGAAAGCATTAGACGGCCGTTTCATCCTAGTGTGGGACTCCTCAGCAGTGCGCACCCACGACCTCGCCCCCTGCGAGATTCAACTGACTCATGATCTTAACCTTTGAAATTACTACAATCTCCACAAAATCCATCTCATATAATAATATGATATTTATAATTTTCATCATCACATATGAGCCACATTCTAAGTTGTTGTTTTTTATGTAACTCATTAACGCTAATGAATAATCTTAATATTACGAATGGAGTATCTATCTAGTGCTCCCTGGTTTTTATTAGTTTCTCAAATGTTTTCAATTTTTGAAATCAAAACTAACCTCAATCAACAATACAAAACATACAACGTGATATACATCATACACACTTCGACAAAACTTAATATCAGTATAATGGACTCGAATAAAATCAATTTAATTCCTAGAAGAAGAAAAAAATGCATGATTTCACTCGAGATTGTTGACATGTATCAATATACATGAAATCCAATCATAAGACAAAACTTGAACTATGATTAACTCCCATTTTTCTATGGTTTGTGAATCCTGAAAGGTAAATCTAACATCTAATATTCATCCTTAGATTAAATGAATTTCCACAATTCATGGACCAATTCAAGAATATGATAGTTATTCATTTGTGATGGTGGATAAGATTTGTAACTGAGGTGAATGATTTTGATGGAGTTTTGTTCTATGAGCTGGATAGTTTGATCGTTTATCTGAATGACATCATCAGTACTTCTACCTGGAGTTTGTGCTGATGATATTGTTCAGAAGAATGATGAAAGCTCCACAATCAAACCAACTTGTTCAGAAAACAAAACTCTATCAAAGTTATTCATTTAGAGTATTATATAATGATGACATCTATGTTGAAGTTAGAGAAATATAAACCATAAAATTTTGATTTGTTTTGTGTCCGTTATATAACATTCAAAGTTATCATGTTAATTTAATGTATGGCTTGTAAATACTAAATGTAAACAACCTTGATGAAATATCTAATCAATAATCTATAATTATCATTAACTCTTTAGTTTTTAATATCAGATGGGTTTTGTGGAGATTGTAGTAATTTCAATGGTTAAGATCATGAATCAGTTGAAGTTAGACTATCATGGAAAACCTGGAAGCAGTGGATGGCCGTTTCGTCTTATTGTGGAACTCCTCAGCAGTGTTATCAATGCATAAAGGAAACTATTTTTAAATTATGTACATTACTACAAACTGAACTCAATAAACAAAACCTTTATAGATTAAAGTTAAATAAACTGATTTATAATGCTTAAATTGTATACAGGAACTTGATTAGTACTGTCATAGGATTGAAACATGACCTTTTTTAGATAGGTATTTAATCGTAGATCTCTTCAAAGTACTAATCATATACAATGTTGTTGAGTTAGTAATAGTAAAATTAACAACAAGGTTCTAAATAAAATTTATAAATCGGTTGATTTATATGTGAATCTTTATCAATTTAAATGACGTGTAATGTGTGGTCAGTCATCATATTATGAGTTAGTATAGAACTAAACTGTGAAAGACTAATAATGGACAGTTTAAAGCATGGAGTTAATTTGTGATATTATGAACTATAAACTTAAGCCGTTTCGACAATTACAAAATTTCCAGTCGTCTTTCATGTGATAGTTGTAATGTATAGCTGGAGATTTTACGTGAAATGGCTTAGAATCAGCTGTAATAAAGTAGGTTTATTTCATTTTATTTATTTCTAATTGCTCTTCTCAGTATCACCTCATACTCTCCGCTAGCCAATTCAATTAACTTTTTAGAGTTATAAGTTGTATTATAGGGGTTTACAAATCTCTTTTTAATTTCATGGTTAACATGACGGAATGCTGAGTAGCGGGTGAGTACTATTGAAGAGTTCCATATTAGGATGGAACAGTTGTCCGATACTTCCTGGCTTTTAGGGGTAGTTAACAAAGATTGTTCATTGATGTTAATTATAAAAAAGAATCATCATGTTAATTTTCTCCTGAAATTGATGTTATATATTTCAGTAATTACATTTCTTGCCATGCTGATGCGAATTACGGTGGTTCAAACTAATATATATATATAATTTTAATAATCCCCTAATATATCAGATGATATTCATAATCAGCTGTGGGGGGGGAATCACTGAAAGGCGGGAAGTACTGAACAGTTATTCTGCCTTGATATTGAACTTGGAAGTATTGTGTACACACGACCCCAACAAAGGATCGAACTCAGGTCTTTAAAGTCTCACAAAGCATTTACAACTTATGCTATTAAGTTGAACTTTAATAATTTGCATTTTGAATTTCAAACAGTTTGATATACAAGGTAATGTCCAATAAAATTCGAAAACACGAGATTAATGTCTAAGTGACAAGTCTATTATTAAACATAAAACATTGTTTGTTTGTTATTAACAAATAACAACGTAGGAAAAAACCCAATTCATCATTCACCGGAGTCAGTAAATCTTAGTTACTTACTTCATTACGCCTGTTACTCCTCGTGGAGGAGCATAGGCCGCTCACCAGCACAGTCAGTTAATCATTCACCACTAAATGTTCCGTATTAAATAAATCGATACTAACTCACTTACATAATAAATGATCTCTAATCTGATTTCCTTTTATCTAATGGAGGTAAACATTTGAAAAAATAATCATATTCTTCATGAAACACCAAAAAAAATCACTCACTGTGAAATATACTACTTATTATATTTTATTTTATTTGTGACATTAAGCAAATGGAATACTTCAAAAACCATACACTGAAAACTTTCATGTTAGTTTGTTAGTTATTCACAAGCAGTGTAGAACCTTGTCAGTTATGTTTCACCTTAAGTTATCATTGCCATACTAGCATAAGAAAATAAAATTATCAAGATGATTCCTAGAGTATTAGAAGTTGTAACAACATCAGTGGTAATAGAAACACATTCGATGGAATAATAAGTATAAGGTAGTATTAAAACTTGAAATTAAAGAGAAGATATAGAATAAATGCATCTGTATCATTGTGGTCGATTCTAAGCTATGTCCTCCAATGTCTTCAATACACTTGGTTAAACATCATCTGAACAATACAAGTCCGAATAATATTTCATTCAAGTGGTATGATAGATCTAGTTGAGAAATACAAAACATGTAGTGAATAGATTTCAACCATATTAAATATATAAAGGAGTTGCCTACTGAAATCACAAACCGATTGAAACATGATAATGTAAACTACTGACTCAATAGTCTAAAGCTGTGATATTTTAACTTAAAGAGATCTGAAGGTTTTAAGTTTCATTGAAGGTGAGATCTCACTGATAAAGAATTTCATACTAGGATGAAATAGCTATCCAATAATTCCTGACAACATTCAACAATCTCCACAAATCCCCATATATATATATATATGAACAATTGACAGAATAACAATGTTCTAATATGAAAATAAAACTCTTGTTTTATGTTGAAAAAACAAACAAACAAACTTTGACTTACCAAAAATTCATTTAATTAATCCAACAGTGTTTCTTTTAAAAGTACTACTAATGAGTTATAAATAGTAGAAAACAAACATGTTCACATTATTATTAACAATAGTGAAATGAATCCTACATTATGTGATACATTTCGATCCATTAGATAAATGGAAATATTGCAATGTTAAGTATCCAATATTAATAATAACTAACAATCAGATTAATCAGGAGAATAGAGTCTATTTTTGTTTTTTTGGAGGGAAATTCTATTCATCATTTATGTAAGTCAATATTTCATTCATATAAGAGGACAGTGAGAAATTGTGACGATGAACCACATCCTTTATATATTTATTTATTTCATTATTTGTTTATTTGTTTGGTTGTTTGTTTTGTTTTGTTCTTCTCTCTCCATTTGAATCTTTTTTTTGGTTTCGGTCAAACGTAAAATTTGGGAGAAACACATTAACGTTAGGGCGGTGTGTAAAACCAGCTTCACGTCTCTCTCTCTCTCATTCACTTACTATCACGATCGTTCCCATATATACACACACGCACGCACGTAAACACTTCAAGCTTCATCATTATCATTCATAGGTTTTGGTAGTGTAGTCTTTTTATTCTTGTTTTAGTGTGTTGATAATTGGAACAGTAGTAATGGTAATGATGATGATGATGTGGATGGTGGTGGTCAATTTTTAGTAAATGTCGTGACTTCATTCATATCTGTCTTACCTCTTACCTTTTTGGTGCTTGTTCCTCATATTTTAAGCACGTGCAAATCTTTTCTGTCTAATGTCTAATCCTACCCAGGTTTTGAATGTCTAAATGCGTTTTTATCTCTCTCTCCCGCTCTCTCTCTCTCTCTTCCTCTCTGTCTTGGATACATGTAGTGCCACACTCTACTATTTTACACTAACCTAACCACATTCATTACAAACTCGCCACCCATATAACTAATTTTAGCGTGTCTTAATTTTTCAGTTCACCCTGAACAGATTTTCAAAGACAGCATGAGACTGCTCTTTTGGTTAAAACGGATTAACAACACCAAAAATATTCACTCTGACTACTACTAATACTCATACTAATACTACTATTAATCTTATTTTCATCATAAATGCACCTTTAAAGACATTAAACAAGTCACCACCACCACCACCACCGTTAACATTGTCGTTATCACTATAGCCAACAGAAAATAACCTGATCTCCAGTTAAAACTTGAAGGTGGTGGGATTACATTTCACAACATCAACTGGTTCAACTTAAACATATAAAAAAAAGAACAGGCGGCAAGACTGGAAAATATTCAGTCTATTCTGAAGTAATTAGGTTGGTGGGATAGACAGATGAGATAAAAATTTTGGGATTGGGTTTCACTGTTAGCCTATTTATTTACTACATACTACTGTTGTATTTTGTCAGTATTTTTATTCCAATCGAGAAATATTGTTGTCCATTAGAAGAAAAAAAAAGAGAAAACTTGAGATAGAATTTGTCGTCTACTTTGTCCAGGTAGAATTATGTACACAACCAGTTATGTGTGGTAACACAATAGTAGTCGCCTTTTTCACCTTGTTGTCCCTATTTTCTCTAGATCAACAAAATGATGTATAGACATAGGAATAATTGTCTAACAATTTCATTTATGAAAACAGATTCACACATACATACACACACACACATGTACAACAATGCATACACTAGTATAATTCATGCGAATAATGAAATCTTGAAGAGGTGAAAAGACAAAACAAAAGAAAGAGAAAAAATATGATGTAATGACATTAGTCCCTAATCTTACATATATATATATACATGTCCCGATTTGTAAATGTTTAGCCATTTTCTCCTTTTTGTAAACTTGATACTTTAGACTATAAGAAGAAGACCAAAAGAATCAGAACACGATAACCGTTATTATTGGAACGTCGACAATTATCCATACAACCACTTATGCCTATACATAAACACTTACATGCATGCATATGTCTTCTAATGAAACAAATAAATTCTCAAATATAAAAATGGATGAAGAGTGAAAGAGAGAGTGAGAGAGAAAGAAAGAAGTAGAAGCATGAATGATAATAGAACATGTGAGTAAGGTCATTTTCACACTTTACTGAATTTATTCACTCCAAAATACAATAAGAGGAAAGTAAGTAGGAGGTAATCAACAACAACAACAGCAACAACAACGACAACAACAAGAACAAAAAGAAAGAAAAAAAACTGATGCATATGAGATAAGTAGGCTGATAAAAGGTAGAAGAAAGAAATGCAATCAAATATATCTATATACATTCTATCTTGTATTTTATTTTGTGTCATTTTGGGTTAAATGATTATGGTCGATTTATTTTCATTATGTTTTGTTACATTTTCGGTTATTTGAGATAAAAACAAAACAAAAAGTAGTTTTAATTTGAATATAAAAGTTGTTAAGCTAAAAAAAAGGAGACATGAAGATATTGAGTTAAATAGATTGTTGAAAATATAGATAGATACAACTGATGAGTACTAATTGGGGGACAAAATGAATATTTCAAATTTTTACTCTGAGCTGGATGGTTTAGTCGTGGAGCTTTCATCATTCTTCTGAACGACATTATCAGCACAAACTTCAGAAAGAAGTAATGCATTCGAGTTTCTCCACATGTGGTTCACAACTTGTCCTGTACACTTCGACGTTGATTGGTTCTTATTGATCTTAAATTTGTCATTGTCAAAGGAGTAAACAATGACAAATTTAAGGTCAATAAGAACTAATCAACATCGAAGTGTACAGAACAAGCTGTGAAACAAATATGGAGAAATTCGAACACTTCACTTCTGTCTGAAGTTTGTACTGATGATGTCGTTCAGAAGAACGATGAAAGCTTCACAACCAAACCATCCAGCTCAGAGGACAAAACCCCATCAAAATCATCTACCAAAGCTACAAATCTTCTCCACCATCTCAAAAAGATAATTGAATATATTTTGACTTCAACTGTTACTATGTTGTAGTGGTTTTAGTTGGCCATTGTAATGACTCAAAAGTTGTTCGTCCGGATTCGGTCATTTTTTGGTAAAAAAAACACTTATAGAGCAGTGAATTTAAAACTTTAGATTGGATTTGGGTATGCTAGCAGTAAGGTATTTTCAGTGAATAACCTATATATATACAGGACATTATTAGCAACAACTTACTGTGGGAGAGAACAAACCAGATCCCAGTGGAGGAAGAAATCAGAAAGAAGCACTGAAGGTGGATAGGACACACATTGAGGAAAGCACCGAACTGCGTCACAACACAAGCTCTCACATGGAATCCTCAAGACCAAAGGAGAAGAAGAAGAAGACCAAATAACACATTACGCCGAGAAATGGAAATAGACATGAGAAAAATGAACAAGAATTGGATGGAACTAGAAAAGAAGGCCCAGGACAGAGTGGGTTGGAGAATGCTGGTCGGTGGTCTATGCTCCATTGGGAGTAACAAGCGTATATATATACAGCGAATCTACCAGTTCACAGACAAAAGAAATGGCTATAAAAAGAAAAACTAAAACTAAACTCACTACATCCTTCTTAGCCCTATGGTTTTCATATCCTATAGGTAAGGTTTGCAAACTAAAAGCTGTTATAGTTTTCACGAGAATAATCCAACTCATTTATGTGGGTTCGTATCTCTCAGAATACCACATCAGTCCCCATGAAATTACAGGTGCACCTCAGTGGTGATTCCCAACTGACATGAGACCTAAATCCAGGGTTTCTCGCCAACTACCCCAACATGAGTAATTGGCAGATCTCGAAAAATGAAATGTAACAGTATCATTAATTATTTGGATGAACTTAGCTCGTTCATCGGTGTTGATGATACGATATACATTCGAATATGTAGTTTAAAGAAGAACTATATATGTGCATAATTCGTCTCATAAAGTATGTTTGAGATACACAAATATTTTTATACATTTATTTCGTCTGATAATTTTGAACAAAGGTAGTGCAATAAAATTTACAGAATCAGATGAATTCAATGTATCAGCTGGAAACAGTTAAAATTTATGAAGAACAACACTAATTAGAAACAAAGATTTGACATAATCTCGTCAGTGAAATTGAGATGAATGTATTTAAAAAGATGGAAACAAATATGAATTATAATATCAAGCATGAGTTGTTTATCAGAAGGTATTTTTTGGAGATTTTGGTAATTTTATAGTTGAACTCATGAGTCAATTGAAGCCAGGTCACCATGGAAAACCTGGGATCACTGAACGGCAGTGCTCGCTAGTGACTGATTTCAAGAGGTATTTCCCGGAAATCGAGTGAGAAGTCTTAACCAGTGGAGTTCAACCGGGTATGTTGTGAGATAGTAACTCACTGATGACGATAGTAGACGGAGGCGCAATTTCTTGGATTGGCTGAAGTTAGACATTAACACCGTTGAATGACGTCTCCATGGAATAGATATCGAGTGCTCGCGCGCGAGACGTATAAGCCCTGGGTTCGAATCTCGCGGGGTGAGATCGTGGACACGCACTGCTGAGGAGTACCATACTAGGACGAAACGACCGTCCAGTGCCTCTAAGCTTTCCATGGTGATCTTATTTATTTATTTATTTGAACACATAAATATTGGTACAAGAGAGCGCCAATATATATGCGCCACACAAAACAATGGGAATTCGAAGAGAAGTAGAAAGAGAAAAGAAAAAAAAAGGAACGCAAAAGAAAAAGAGAACAATGACGAAGAGATTGGAGTAAGGTAGTGTGGTAGTAACGACGGAACGAAAAGATACAATCAGAAGAAATCTTTCAGGTAAAGGAGACACAACCACTTTTTATGAAGAAAGTAAAAGAAGGTTACAGCAGGATCGCCACTGGCTTCTATTCTGAGCCATATCTGATAACGTCTCTAGCCACTGTGTAGCACCATCTCTCGGACCCCAACCAGGGAGTCGTGAAGGACTAACACAAGCCAGTCCTTTGCAGCTTTCTTTCATGCCACGACACCATGTCATGCACTGACCACCTCTCCGCTTCTTCCAACCAGTCCCAGAGTCGGCAAATAATGCACGACGTGGAATTCTCTGGGACGACATTCGGAGAACATGTCCAAGCCACCGAAGTCGGTGTTTCAAGATGGTGACACCAATTGAGTTATCATCTCTGTGCCCGAACACACGATGCC